GGAAAACTTTTCACAGAAAAAAAGTTTTCAGTTTTTTTTTTAAAATTTTAATTGAATCTTTTTGTAGTTTTATAACTTTTTCTCAACAATTTTCAATATGAACAGATAACTTTTAATGAATTCTATGTGTAGCTACTAAGTCTGGTTTATAGTTGATGACCGCGATGTATAATTAATGATCCCAATATGTAACTAATGAGCCTAATGTATAACTACTGAAACAAATGGTATAAATAATGGTCCCTATGAATAACTAAGGATCCCTTTGCGTAACTGATGATCCCGATGTATAACTGATGCTCTCGATGTCTAGCCAATTTTGTGTATAAATAATCAATAATTCCGAAGTATAATTAATGATGCCTACGTTTAATTGAAGAACCCTATCTATAACTAATGATCACAATGTATAACTAACAATCACTGTGTATAATTATTGACTCCTATGTGTAACCAATGATCTTTTCGTATAACCTAATGTAACTAGGAATCTTTAAGTTTGACTTTTGATCATTATGTATAACTAACGATCCCTCTGTGAAACTGGTGATCTCTGCGTATAAACAATGATCTGCATAATTAGCTAATGATCCCAATACATAATTATTGATGCCTATGTTTAATTACAGAAACTATGTATAACTAATGATCACAATGTAAAACTAACAATCACTATGTATAATTAATGATCCCTATGTATTATTAATGATCTTTATTGATAATTTTTGATCAAAATGTATAATTAACGGTCCCTCTGTGAAATAGATGATTCCCATGTATAACAAATGTTCCCTATAATCAACTAATCATGCTTAATTTTCAATTAAAGATCCCGATGAGCAACCAATTATCTCTAATTTCGGCAAGTGGTCTCATTTACAAAAGTGATAACTGTGCAGGCTGCAATCAATTTCGCCTGACTGCGCAATTGGAAATATTCTTTTTTTTCTCATAAGGTTTCAAATAAAAGAAAAACTCCGGGTATTGAAAAAACACAGATTAAATCTACAGAAATAAGGTTTAATCAAATTCATTGACGTAATTAGTGAAAACTTGCCACATGCATTATTTTGAAGAAAATTACGCTGTTCAAAAGGAGTCTTTTTTTAAAAATTTTTATGAAGGCGCACCTAAAATTGTAACTTTGTTCGCATAAAGAAAGAAGCTTCAAAGGACAGAGAAATGTCTTACTACTATCAATTATGGCTACAGATATGCGATAAATACATCTGAAAAATCTTTTTTTTCTACATTTCCGCAACAGATTTCCAGTTTGAAAGATAGAACGGTTAATCAAGAGAAATTTAAGTCACAAAAGCATCTTATTATCCGCTTTGACGTTTCGATTATCCATAAGTCAATTGTCGTGTTATTTTTATTTTTTTTTCGCATCTAAAAATCCAACAAGTCAAACTTATCTTAATCGAAAGCCATTTGATATTTTTTTCAAAATTCCATTGGAGAAGTATTGACCAATTCCGAAAAAAATGGTTGCTTAGTGCTGGTTTTTGAGTTGAAGGATTGGCGTCATTGCGGAATTTCTGTAGCTGATTATACTGGCAGTACGTGGAAAAAGTTCGCGTGACTCTGATATCTTCATATGCTCATGAACAGTTTTTCAAAAAAATATACAGGCCATAAATTAGATTAGACGACCATTGCTTTCAGTTTGTTTTAAGTTATTTCAGCTAACATTGGTGTCTGAATTGGCTGAACATGCTTCTCATGTCATTGTATGTTTTAATGTGAGCTCAGAAACACAGTTCAAATACTAAGTAAGTTTTTGCTTTGAAGGAGCGTAGCATTTTTTCCTCTATGGTTGGTTTGTTTTCTTTAAATTTCGAAGTTTCTACCAAGCTTTGACGGAAAAAGAACTTCGCAGTTTAAAACATTAATCCAATTAAGAACTGCTAAAGCTGAGAAAGCAAAAGTGAAAAATGATTTCGTAGTTGGGGGTTGACAATCGTTTGACTAAAAATAACCCCAAAGGCGCAAAGTTAAAAAAGTGTAGGGTTTTTTCATTAGTTGGGTGATATTTTGCTTTCGAATTGCATTAATACTCAGTCATATGAAGGATTTATTGATATTTTTTCATTTACAGGATAGTTACTTCGCAATGTTATCAATTCCTACACTTTCAGTATTGCTTAGTTTAAAAAAGCAACTGCTTCAGCAGAAACACCTGGCATGCAAAATATATGGAAATCCAACACCAATTATAGGAGGAAATTAAATCGTGTATGGTCTGCAAAAAATTTTATACACACTCTCCTTGGTAACAAATATTTCTAGTTTGTGAAAACCTCACCTAAATAAAGAAAGTGTCGCAGGTTGCTAAAAAAATATAGGATTGGTTTTGACGTGAAAAGATATTATTTGCTGGTGTTTTGAAATTTCCTCAAAAATTGCGGGACCCACTTTTAAACTCGTTTTTTTTCAGGGACCCAACAATCATACTTGTACCTAATTATTAAGCGACGTTAGGCAATTATGACGCATTAGCAGTACCAGTCACTTCGAAAAAAAATTTACCAACTAACATGCCTCAATTTATAGAGCTGACGCACTTTAAATAGTGTACGAAAAAGTGCATTAAAACATCCGACCATGCGCAGATTTGAACCTGCTTATTTTGTTGCTATTTGTAATATAACAGTCTGTGTTAGTATTTTTAGAATTGGCGGTACTAAAAATGAACACTAATATTTGTGTCTTAGGTTGGAAAAAAAAGTGTTCACACTATTACACAAGCTTTGCAACTAATTTCATTTCGTTGACACACTTGCGTCATTTTAAAAACATCATAACATTTAAAAGTTTCAAGTGAAAAATTTGTTTGTCAGATTTTTGCTGAGTTTACTCCAGTGCAGATACCAGTATTTTAAGTATAACAAATCATATCATCAAACTCAGCACGACAGTCGAGCACGCGCACACTCCATAAAATCACTGTTTCTACCTCTAGCACTTTGACATTTATTGAACAAACTGTTTTAATTCTTTATACAAAGACTCAATGTCAATAGATTTCCTTCAACAGAAAAGTGCGATTTTCAAACAGGCGACAAAAGAGCAGAACAAGCATTTAATTGAAGTCTAGTTGCACAAAATTTAAGTGTCCTAATTGAAAAAACAATTACTAGATGGACCTGAAGTCTTACTTTTTGTACAAAGCTGGCTTGATGGTAACCCAACTGACAAGTAAAGTCAAATTTTAAATTATTCATGAGAAATTTTTATTGTATAAGGTTTTTTTTTCAAATTCTTGTCTATATTGCATTGAAGGAAATTGTCTGGTTCACTTGGTAATTGGCATTAAGCCTAGTATGTCACTGACATTGTCACAGTAAGATTTTCAATCTAGTTTTTACAATCCAGGTGGCAGCTAGAAGTTTCATGAGGGTTGAGGAAGGCTTACAATTTTTTCTTTTTTTTGTGAATGACCATACTGGTTTTCCAATATCACTGGTAAGACCCTGCTTCGTTAAACGATTTTTGTGCTGTAGATAAACTATGGAAATTTAGGCCAAAAACTTGAAGTAACAACGCAGAAACATTGGTCAAAACAGACGCGAAGGTGAGGTCCTCGCCACTTGCGATACAATTATGAGGTCGATTATAATCAAACGGAAAAAAGTTTTTGTTAAAAAAATTACAAAACAAGCCCAAAATATCCGGCAAAAAATTGCGTGAACTATTGGAAACTCAACGATGAGCTTAGAGAGTGCTATAAATAAGGCTAGTCTTTATGAAAAAAATTCTGTATGCAGAACTAAGCTGACAAATAAGCAAACAGACAATAATCTAAAATAGTTAATTATATTGCAAAAACAAACTCTCAACTGGCCGGTTTTGTCGTATCAAGCATGGGATTCAAAAAACCCTAGCGGGATTTAAACCGTGTGCTTTTGCTATCTAAACTGCAGTTTAACCTCTACGCCAAATGGTTTATTGGATTTGATTTAAAATTACTATGTGGTAACAAAGCCAATACACCCGAGCAGAAACTCATGCCGAAAAAAATTCTCAATATCTTAAAATGGTTCCCCCCTCAGAGCACAGGCGTATTTTTTTTTTCGGCCGTAACGACGCAATAAGAGGCTGCTAGGTCGATAGTAATTAAATAATAGTTTATCAAGCCGATAAAACAAAAGAAACATTTAAATCGAGCTGATAAAATTACAATCAATTGAAAAAGCAATTTTTAATTCGGTGGCATTTTCAAATTGCTAAAAGCAATTGCAATGAGGATTGTTCACAGCTAAAACAAACGAACTTTAGATGTGACAACTAAGCCGACAAAACAAGCAGAAAATTAAGTGAATTTACTGATCCTGAATATGTACCGTTTTGAAGAAAAAACTGGTCCTTCCTGGTCAGATTCGAACACAGGACCTTTGTCGTTCCAGGCGCATTCGTTACAACCAAGCTAAGTGTGCAAGAGACTACAAAATTACTATGCGGCAAAGCACATCAGGAGTCGAATGAGTCCTGTGCACAAAGTTGTTTACGGGAAAAAAAGTCTATCCCCGATTGTAATCCTCTTGCTCAACGCAAGGGTAAACACACGCTTACGGTGATTTGAGAGACTTGTTTGTTTACGCTTGATTCAAAGATTTAGCTTTCTTGTAGTAAAGATTTATGTTCGTTTAAAAAAAGCAGTCAACGTTATTTAAGCGATCGTTTTAATAATTTAGAAAGGCTTACCAACTATTTTGATCCTTCTCCCAAAAACTACCTTTTTAAGGAAAATTGGATCTAATGAATTAATGGATATATTAGATAGCTCTAATTGGTATGATTAGGGAATGAATAGTAAAACAATCACTTTGCCATATTCCGAAATTATTTTGAACGCGGATCAACTTGATCTATTTTGGCAAATTTTTACATTTTTTTTCTTTTTTACAATTCTCATTAACTTGAAAATTGATCCCAGATGAATAAGGATAAGATCGGGTTTTGTTCCTACTGCCTTGACTATTCTCAGATAAAACGGAGAAGATGAATCAACCGTACAATATCGCATATTTTCTACAATATCAACTTTCAAAAATTTACGTGGTTGGAGGGACATTCTCCGGTAGGTCACTTAGGGGGAGAAATTGTACGGTTGCTCCGAGAAAATAAATCTAAAATCAAAACAATAAATAAAAGTAAGTAAGCAAAACAATTTGGAATCTTTAAGCAACCGATAAAACACCGGAAAAACAAGACATGGAGGTCCTGAGATAAAACAAGGAACACTTTATTCACAGAAAAGAGCTCAGTATTAAATCAGGTACGTCAGCGAATGGATGCTCACAATGGATTGGTTTCAATTTAGCTCGATCAGAACATTTTCAATCAATTCGATAATACTACTTGAAACTTCTTGTCTGTGAATTAAAACTACTTTATAGGGATTTTCAAACAAATTCATTTCTATAGTTCTTACTCGACCAGTTTTAATCTACCAGTTCGTTTTACTCCTACTGAGTTGGCTCTGTTTGTTCTTCTGACTCGTTGAAAAACTGAGTCAGATTGGACTGTCTCTGGTATCTTTCTGGGTCTGGCATGCGGAATATCTTCACATCTTCTGGCCTCGTTCTCAGATTGCCCAGGTCCAGGGGTGTGAAGAAGATGAACTGGGAGCCAGTTGGACTGCTGGCAAGGCGCTCTTCACCAACTTCTGAGGCCTCTGTGGTGGCGAACTCCAAAAGGTAGTCCATGCTCACTTTCCGATTCACCATGTCCATGAACACATCGAATTCGTCCAGTATCTAAATAGAAAAAAAACAATAGCCTGATAATACTAAGAAATGCACTTTGGTCTAAAACGGTCTTTTTTGCACTAAGGAAAGAACAACTTTCCAGAATTTCTGAAAGCCACATACAATAGTTTTGACCTTATACATGAAATTAGTTAACTCTTTGCGAACTATTTGTCTTTTTTCTTACCTTGAATGGCGAGGTTCCTGACACAGCACTCCACATTGCTGTAATGAAACACACAGTGGTGAAGGATCTTTCACCACCCGACAGCTGACTTTTATTCTTCAGAACTTTGTCCGACTTAGTCTTGATCAGTATATCCAGGGTCTTGGCCTCGTGATCAAACACTAGCTTCCCTGAATATCCATTTCCACGTAACCCCAGCCGATGAGCAAACCCGTTGGCCATCGTAACTGTCGCATTTTCACGCAGACTCAAAAACTTTGTCTGTCTGAACTTGAGTGCATCTTGAAGTACAGCCAGCAACTCTTCTCTCTCTGAAATTTCACTCTCGGCCAAGGAGTACTTATCAGTTTGAATTGCAAGTTGCGCCTCGAGATCCGCTCTGTTTTCTGGATTTTCCTTCTCCTTGGCGGCCAACAAATTTCTCGAATCTACTAACGCTTTTTCAATGTCAGCCTTGCTTCTACGGGAACGCATCATTCTTCCGTATTCCTCTTGATCTAAAACCTGCTCATCAATTTTTTGCTGCAAATTGGAATTTTGAGTGTCCAGATTTGTACAAGCAGCTTTGTTATCTTGAATTTCTCTCTCAATTGGCGCTATACTAGTTTGATAAAACTTTTTAGTTTCCACATGCTCAGAAAGTTGCACATTTAAATTTTGGACCCTGTTTGTTTTGGACCTCAACTCATTGCGTAAACAATTATATTTTTCTTGCAAGCTATGAAACTCTGATTTGGCGGATTCTTCCTCCAATTTCAATTTTTCTAGTGTGTTTTTAATCTGAACCAGCGACGCTTCTTCCTTTTCTAACTTAGAAGCATCGTCACGTATTTCACTCTCGTATACTTCTGTTGTCTCGTCTGAGAGGAGTTGATCCAAATCTCGCTTCACTTCTTTTGCTAATCTTGAAGCTGATTCAAATTTACGCTCACGAGAAAACTTAGTCTCAAGCAAAGATTTCTGAACTTCCTTATTGGACTTGAACTTCTCATCCAGCGATCTTATTTCGATTTCAGCCGCCGCTTTGTCTCTCTTTATGGTTTCAATTTGCTCTTGTGTTGTTGCGATCTTGTGTGAAATGTCGTCACGCTGGAAAAAATTGCACTCTTTTACATTATTAGCATACACGGCCCTTCCAGGAATAACTTCGGATCCATTTAGGCAGATTCCCTTCTCAGTTTTGGCAGGAGGATCCGACATAATCAGGACCTGTCTCGCCTCCTTCAAAGAGTTGAATATTATTATATTTTCCGGTGACACTTGGTCTATTAAGCAGTTCATAACCACCGGATCCTCACAATTGATTACCTCTTGCAAAGTCGGCTGCGAATTAGTTTGTGATTTGTGACCCGATGTGTCATAAATTGTGTTCATAAAACTCTGGACAATAAGTTGAGGGAAAGTTTGCTTCCTGTCACGCCCAATTACCCGCTCGAAGATCCCGCGTAAAATAGCAGCATCACTTCGATTGTCGCACATGAAACCCGTCATTAAACCACTTCCGATGCATTGCTCAATTGGTATTTCATATTCGGCCTTCGAAGCTTTAATGTACCTGCCTAAGGGACCTTTCGGTGTCTTCGAGAACCTCGCCTCAGTTTTGATCGCTTCCAGTAACTCCGGAACATGTAATCCGTACAGTTTAAGGTGGTTGTCTTTGGACTCCTTCAACTGGCGGACTCTAGTCTCCATCTGCTTGATATCTGACTCATGCATCGCTATTTGATGTCTATACATCCTCAGGTCTTGCCTCAGCCGGTCTTCATTGTCATTAACTTGTTTCAGTTTCCCATCCGCACTTTGCGCTTCACTTTTACTCTCTTCAATTTCTTTTTCTAGCTCAGCTAATTTTTCCTGTAACTTCCTGCTCTCTTGGGCATACTCGTTCTCGTTTCTAGCTCTGTGCTGCAGAATTACCTTTTCCATAGCCGCAAGCTCCTTTTTCAGATTTCGGATTGAGCTTTCTTTGCTCTGAATGCTCATTTTGACTGCACTTGAGGTGCGATTTGCCTCACGATAGATGCTTTCTTTGTTAGATTTCTCTTCGTTAAGCAGATGTGTTTGTTTATTTAGATCATCTATTTCAGTTTGAACTTTTTGCCGTTCGGTTTCGATTTTGTCGACTTCTCTCTGTGAGTCGGCAATCTTCTGCCGTCTCATTTCAATGTTGCGCTCTTTGTCTGTTACTCTCCGCTGTAACTCAAACTTCTTCGCGTCCAAGTCTTTTTTCATTACAACCAACAGTTCAACTTGCAGTCTCCTCCGTTTTAATTGGAGCTGCTCTTTTGAATCACATGCTTTGATTCGAACTTGAACTTTCTTAATTTGCTCTAGAAAATGTGCTAGCTTTTCTTTTGTTCTTTCGACAACTTTTTGTCCTTTTTCCACATTTGCCTTGATTTCCTTCAAATCGTCTTCCAGCAAATCGAGCCTCGTCACTTGTTTAAAGAAAGAGTACATCTTAGTGGGTTCTGCCGTGGCCAAAAATTCTCGACTCATATCTTGAGTCAAAATAGTAGTCGGGTTATCGATACAAATATCAAAATGGTCTAATACTCTGTGCATTAATGTAGCCGTAGTCCCAATAGTCCTATCTCTATGCGTTTTAATTTTATACGTGGAAGCACTTTGAGTAATTCGGCGTTCGATTACAATGGTGGGCCCGTAGGTTTCTCTTTGGAAGGGGTTCTTGCCCTCATTCGAGAGATGAATCGCGACTGTAGCCGCACTTTCGTCTTTTCTGATCAAACCCTTTGTGGATGCGGCTCTTTGGGTGAAACTTGCTTTGGCACCAAGTCCAATTAGTAGAGCAGTAACTATGGCTGATTTTCCACTTCCGTTTTTACCAGTGACGAAATTAATTTTATCTCCGAATGGGACTTCAAGATGTCGATGATTCATGAAATTCTTCAAAACTAGTTTTTGCAGTTTTCCACAAAGTACTCCGCTGACTGCTCCAGGCGTAGAACAAATCTCCTCTTGACTACTTTGGGTACTTTTCAGGAACCTAGCTGTAGTTCCTGGAGACAAATTTTCCCCATTCTGTTCTAGTTCCTTTTCCAATTCAAATACAGGCGTGGGCTGTGAATTGCAGGACTGAGAGACGAGTTTAGCTTGGGAAGTAGCCAGACATGGATCCAGGGGCCCCTCTGCAGGTCGCTTGCGCTTGTGGCCATTGAGGAACATCAAAATCTGGAGACAGTTTTCATCAGCATGTGCATTTGAGAAAATAAAATGACTTTGATTTCTTCACCAGGCTAATTGTTCCTAGTAATTAGTTGCACGTAATAAGAACTTTGAAAATCCCCTTCACACGTAAGTAACAAAAAATTCAAAACCCGACTACGGTCATGGGGGTGCTATACTGGGAAAGCGTCCAAAAAGTTTAAAGAACCAACAAAATTTTTTTTGAACAACTGAGCATTATTTACACAGAGGTGAAGCTGAGCTTCCCACCAGTTGCAATACACCAATTATAGGATGAGTGCACCATGACGCTAAAAAATATGCAAACAGAACTTCGAACTATGTTGCAATTGAAGAAGGAAATCGACAAACGAGTAGAAAAAAATATATATTTTTCTTATCGTGTTTGAATTCATTTGAGTTTTTCAAAGAGGTGCTAGTGGGGTTGAATTTTTTCCTTCAAAAATCGGTGTCAGGGCTTATGATCTCAGAGGTACTACCGGTCATTTTAAGGAAAAAAATCGGTAATTAAGCCGATAGCCGACATCCAATAAGCTGAAACTCAGCCGAAAATTTTCGTAAAACACTTAAAGGAAAAATATCTATCTAACGCTCACATGGGATCCAGGATAGCTATACAAATAGCGTATGCAAAGTAGACTACATAATTGGGAAACTTAAGCAACAGAGCTTGAGTCGACAACCACGAAGCCAAAAAACCATCAGTAGAAAATTAATATCAAAACTCTAATTATACGTACAATAGTTTGAGTATATCGCATCAGTAGTAACTAGTACCCGGTAGTTAAACTTGAATTTTCATTAGTTTGAGCATGTTAACAGCATAGCAGCATCATAAGTGATTCACCTGATTTTGTTAAACTAGTTGTTAGCTCGAAAAAAAAATCTATATTCCGAATGGATAACGCTTGCTAAAGCAAGCGTAAGAACTAAAATGTTAGAGTACTTGGTGCGTAACGAAAAAAGTTGGACAACTGTAACAAATTTATTGCTGTTATGACTACTAACGAAGGGGAACAAAAAATGTCATTGAGTGGTTCCTCTTAGCACGATTTTAGTTAGCCTCAAAAACACCTCGCTCACAATATTGCATCGTAGAAAAAGTAAAATTGATTTTCCAACATACTATACAATAAAACAAGACTGCTCGTATCATTGCAAAACCCTGAATGTTCCGACTGCCATTTAATTGATCTCGAACAGATTTTGATAAATTAAATATTGCAAAACTATGAATTTAAGGCTGATTCTATTTAAATTTAAGAGTTGAAATTTGAGTCGTATATGAAATAAATAAAACCAATAAGCTGCCGCAATTCAATGTGGAACAACTTTGTAGTGCGACTTTGGAACAACTTTGGAATACTTAGCCACGCGTTTAAACAGTCGCGTGGCAGGTTAATATAATGGTGTGCACACCCGGCTAGTCCCATGCAGATCAATAGATCGAACCCCCGAAGGACCAGAATTTTGTTAAAAAACACCCCGAGCATATATATTCCTTCATTTTCTTCAAAAGTCGGAACAATTGTATAGCGTCAGATTGAGAGACTTGGAGCATCTTGGGACAGAGAATGGCATCTTGTGACCGAACAAGCTCCTGTTCGAAAAGGCTATAAATTAATTTACGATACCACTAACATAGCCTTGCAAGCTACCGAACAGAAAAATCGAAAAAACTACAACTAGAAAACCTTCAAAGTGTTGTCTGGAATGATGTTCTATTTATTCATGAATATTTAATTTTTTACACCCCTACATTCCAGACTTTTTACAGCCCCACTAAGCCGATAAAACGTAAGCCGAAACAAACAAAGCTTTTAATAAAATTATAATTTAAAAAAAATTATTTCAAGTACAATTAGAATTGCTACAATTAAAAAATTTCTTACCGGACAGAAAATCTTGATGAAGCTATCAAGCCGACAAAAGAAGCAGACAAACTAATTTGATGAAATGGAATATTTCCATTTGAAAAAAAAACACTAATACAGACCAATATCTAACCTAGGACCTTTGCCATTCCAGCCGTAGTCGCTACCTCTAGGCCAAGTGTGCCGGAGAACCCAAGAAATTTGAGTTTGTTGTGAACCAAGCTATCAAATGATTTGGTTTAAAATATTGATAGCCCGAAAAGTGCATATTCCGATTTGATAGCGCTTTCTAATCGCAATCGTAATTAATCGTGCGACCTTAACATCCAAAACGTGAAGAGCAGGCTCAAAGAATTATCAAAATCCAGCAAACTACAGCAGTATTGTAACAACAATCAGAACAAAAACTTAATGTTAACGTAACTTATTTTAATTTTTCATTTCCACATCAAATTGAAACTTCGAATAACTCATCGTTATCCTGTTGGCCAGCCAAATACCACTTTTAGAATTCATTAAACATCTAACTCTATCAAATCAAATGGGTGATTGTAAAAAGCATCCTTTTTCGCCACGTTCAAGCCCACGTATACTCTACGTTTACTTTTTGTTTTCTCAACTGAGGGGCTTTTTGTTCAGCAACAGAAATTACTCATTAATTGCACAATTAATTTTTAATATTAAACTGAAACGGCTTTTCTTGACACTGGATAAAAAATTCTCATGCATCCAGGGGCGGATCTAGGATTTTCTCAAGAGGGGGGAATTCCAAAAAATTTTCGAAAATTTTGTCGACCTTTTTTTGGTCGACCAAATTGATTTTCCGAGCTCTTCCGAAGCACTTAAAACACCCTGTTTTCGACACGCGCTCCCCCCTCAATTTTAGTATATATTGACGCCTAGAGGCGCCTTTAGAAAAGTTTTATGGTCCGGCACCAAAAATTTATATCTCAAAATAGTACAAAGAGGGCACCTTTTGGGTCGGCGTATGTCCCCCTAAACCCGCCCTGCATGCATCTAAAACAGTTGACGAAAACTTCCTTAATATGATATTGAGTTTATGTCCGGGGTAGCTCACTCAGAGTAATTTCAGATAAGGTACACCGTCTGTTCGTCACGCTCACGCTATCTTATTTTCGGCCGGATAGATTCGTGCAACTTCTTAGTCTAATACCGATCTTAATCTTTCTCTTATATCTCCTAGTCTCAATAGATCTAGTGTATACTGGTATTTGCGAGTTAGATATCAGGAACTGTTCTGAAGGAGAACAACTGTCTTCTAAGTTATATTTATTTTGTTCTGCTGCTGAAACTATGAACAGTTTCAGCTTCACAAATAATTGTAAGTGTTAGTTATGGATCATGATTGGTTGGTAAGAAGTATTTTATAGAGATAGTTTTTAACAATAATATAATTGGATATAAATACTAGTTTTAAACTGGTTCCAATATATCAGCTTCATCAAAAATTTACTAAGTTTCCAGAATTTTTTGTAGAAAAAAAACAATCAGATCCGGAGTTCAAAATAGACGCCCAAGTATTCCTTTAATATAGTTTTAGTACCCAAAAGAACCTTTAGCAATAACCCAGCTTAAATTTACCACGTGTACAATTTACGCTGCTTCATCGAGGACGCGATAGCTTCCGCTTTAGTTCCGACTGAGGAACAAAAATTAATGACGAGTTTTGGTCCAACCTGATGGCTTAGCCCAAGGCCCTAACTTCAGTCACGTAAAATTCATAACCTCTGAACGGGCTTTTTCAGAACGGTCCAGGGATACCTTCTTCATTTCTCTCTACGAGAAGATCCTTGAGATTAGGTTAATCTGAAGACAGAAAAGTCAATTTTTATACGGCATTTAGCTGAAAGACACTTGCACCACCATTACACAACAGAACCAACAAGCCGCTTGAACACGTCCACTGGTGTCCGGAGTGTCAACCAAAACAATCATCTGAGCCCACTTTGTAGAGATCCCGAAGAAAGACGCGAAATAGTAACTTTCGGGTAGTGGCGTGCGCTGAATTTTTACTTCGAGGGGCAAAAAAAACGGAATCAAGCGAAAACTGAATTCAAAAAAGTGCACAAAATATACAGAAGGTAAAGTCGTTGATTTTTGAAATCTTGCACAACAAAAATTAAACTTTTATGAGGCACCAATGGCGCTTTTGAAATAAAATTAGCTTGGTTCTAACAAAATGTATGTAGTTAAAATGTACCCAGAGGGGTGACCATTTGCTTTTCAAAAAAAAACACTCAAGAAGCTACTGTTCGGGTATGAACTATAATTATGTTTTCTCTCTCCATTAGAATGGTAAGAACTAAGACCACAAATCAATCCTAGTATTCACAAAACCTAAACGTTTACCAATTTCTACAGAAAACAATCCAAAACAGCTAAAATCCGTTAAACTCATACACTGAGGCTTATATTTGGCAGGTAGAGAACAAAAGAGCAGAGAAGGTTTAGAATCAGCTTAGCCCAATATTCAGCAAATTTATTTGACTTCGACGAGTTATCGGTTTTTGGAGTTTCTAGGAAAAAATTGCATTGTCTAAAAACTAAATGATTTTCAAAAAAATCTATGATTGATACGTGTTTGACGAGACTACTTCTTGACAAACATGGATCAATAAGGAAATTTATGTTCCGCTGGTAACTTGAATTCCACTGAGGAAACAAAAACTGCACATTTGAATTTTAACCATTTGAATTTATGGTATCTTCGACCGTAATTTGACATACTGCTAAGTGAAATAGACTGTGACCTCAAGACGTCAAAATCAAACAACTGCAAATGTGAGCTCAAAAACTAGACGACCTATATAATTGAAAAAATAACAGATATGTTATTACAAACCTGGAACAAAAACTACTACCGATATCACCGATGCATAGTTTCTACATAGAGGCGAGACGAAGCTTAGTAACATTTGCAATATAATTAAAAAATTGCATTACAAGATGTTGAATCGAAAAAGTTATATGAAACAAAATTAAACACAAAATGGAACATAAAATTACATGAAACAAGTCGAAAAAACTATATCTGCCAAACTTTCATGCCTTTGTCTCGAATAAGGTTAAAAAAAACAGCCTTAGCA